GATTGGTTATTCTCCGTAAGAATAATATAGAAATTTTAAATTTACGATTTTTTGTAACGGTAACCATTAGGCGAATAATAACGCTTCACTAAGAAATTACCGTAGCCTATTTGTTTTTTTAAGCTCAACAAAATAGTTTTTGAAAGAAGTTTTAAAATTTTGTGTTTGTAAGGTTAAATAGGGGAAAAACTTATTTTTACCTTAAGTATAAAAACCCCATAGTTCCCATAATCTGATATTGCTGGTTTGCGAACCCATTAGAATAAATTTAGGTTGACACGTTTACACCAAATTTCATCAAAATTGGATCATTTTTGCTTGTTATTGTTATAGGTTAGACCTAAGTAAGTTTAAGCACAGAAAAAATAGCCTACTACTATAACCCAGAATGCCAACCGCATGGTAAAAAGCGTCAAGTACTTTGAGAGAGCTTTGCCTGTCAATTCGTAGGCAGCGCCACCAGCGTTGCTATGCTGAGTGCATTGCAACGCTGGTGGCGCTGCCTACGAACTGACAGGCAAAGCTCTCTCAAAGTACTTAACGCTTTTTACCATGCGGTTGGCATTCTGGGTTATAGTAGGCTAGTATATTTTCTGTGGTTTAAGTTAAGTTAAGTTATTAAAATTCATCGAACCGAACCATAATCGATATATTATTAATTTGATAAAATATTGCAGGTTTTACCGGCACTGCACCCATGCCTAGGCCTACTAAATGAGAAATTCTGAGGTTAGGGCCTAACTGACTTTTAGAACAATCTGTCACATGAATCAATTTATAGATTCTGATTGAGCTATGAATGCTTCAAGCCTTAGGCTTTAGAACAGTAATTATGGAAACTTTACTGCAAACTGATAAGCCGGAGTTTCCTAAGTTAGGCACAGAAACGGAGTGCAATACATAGACTCCTCTTCATGTTGTATGTTGTTTTCTGAATCACTGATGTTAAAATTTAGAAACATTACCTTGATCGCCAAGTGATCCATGTTAGTCCAAAAATAGGATTACGCGCATTTCGACGTCAAAGTGTCATTGTCAAATCGTACAAAAACTTTCTAAACCATATGGTCACGTCACAGTCTTTCCGACACACACAAAAATCACATTACCGGTACAAAAATACATTTAAAAGTAGGCTTCTAACTAAGCTCGCATGCCGAGGCTCGACTGCCGAGCAACAAAAATACATTTAAAAGTAGGCCTAAGTTACTAACTAATTTGTGGTAATACGACAGATCTGCTCGCAAGCTGAGGCTTCCACAGATCTGTCGCCTTACCACAAATTAGTTAAGTTAGTAGGCCTAAGTTACTTTTAAGTGTATTTTGGTAGGCCTACCGGTATGTGTTTATTGTGTGTGTCGGAAAGACTGTGACCATATGGTTTAGAAAGTTTTTGTACGATTTTACAATGACGCTTGTCGTGTTGTGACGATGTCGAAACGTGCGTAATCCTGTTTTTGGACTTACGGTACATGGATCACTTGGCGATCAAGGTAAAGAAATGTAACCTTATATATAGACTCCTCTTGCCTTAGGTAGGCCTCTTACAGTCATTTAAGTTTAAGTTAATGTTAACTTAACGTTTACCTAGAAGTGCATCGTTGTTAGGTAATTATTAAGCGTTGCTAATCGCTTTTCCACACTCCGCGCCTAGAAAAACCAGGCTTCAGGCCACAGATAGGCTTACTTCTCCAAGTTTAAGTTTATAAGAAATTTATCTATTAACTTAGGCCTAGGTCCTTTTAACTTAAATTAAATAAGACTGTAGAAAAGGCCAAGGTAGGCTATTACCTTTGATTGCAGGCTCTAACTTGATAGGGAACACTCTGTCAGTTACACTTGATAACTTTTAGGCCTAATTTGTTAGTGTATCTAAGTTTACTTAGCTTATAATTAGGCCTAGGCCCTGCCGGATAACGTTAAGTTATATAGGCCTAGTTTCAAAATAACACTTGAAAGATCATATCTCAACAATGACGATTGATATTTTAAACACATAGGCCTAACCAGACACAGTAATTAATTAAAGTTACTTCCTTGCTTAGTCTAACCAATCAATGACCATGCCAGCCTAGATCTAGTGTTTTCCATTGACATGGGTGAACAAAATCGCAAGAAGGTTTACTAATCGAATCGATAGGTAGTTTCAATCAATAATAGCGTAGCCCAGTTAAGAAACTGTACCCCAAAAATCTTCCACTATTTTATATTACAACACCTAGCCAAGAACCAACAGAGAAAACACAACAAACAAAAGAAAACACAACCGAACAACCGAACCGACGACGACGACGTGGGACGTGACGACGATAAGAAAAAAGACACTATGTATGGTTAGAAAAAATGTCTCTTTAAGAAAAATCTGATTGGCATAGGCATTTAATAGTATGCTATAACAATAATATTGAAAATTAATAATATAAAAAGCTCAAGACAATGTTAACACCACTTATTTTTAGAAATCCATCATGCCACCCAAGTGATGAAGTTCGGCCCAAGGACTAAGGTCTTAATTCAAGCCTACTAAACAAACAACATAAACACATGTAAAAAGTTAAAACATGTAAATACCTAAAATATTGTTATCGATTATAATACATTTGAGTGGATATTTTTAAATCCCATATTTATTTCCTCAGATGAATATTTTTTTTTAATAATTATAATTTAAAGATTTATTATGCATATAAAACAATTGGCTAATATAATATACCTGCACTGTCTACTCCATGGATGAAAGAAATAATAGAATTCACTTCGGTCTCTTTGGTCTCTAGAATTCACAACAAAGTTGTTGGTCGTAAAATGTAAACAAAAAAAAAGAAGAAGAAGGTAGCTCCTAATGTTATTCTTATGGGGGAAAATTAAAATGGTTTTTTTAGGATTTTATAATTATTACTGAACAAATAATCTCCAATAACGAACTTAACCAAGATAATATGATAAAGAACCTTTGTGCAAAACATCAACTTCATATACGTAGTCATTCTCGAGTTTTTGGATTTACATGAGATGCATTTTACACCAGTATGAGAATTCACTTCGTTCATTCAATTACAGGCATAGCTTCTTCTAAAATATTCATTTCCCGCTTAGCTCTATCCATCGCTTCAACTAAATCTACCAACTCATTTAAAGTTAAACGTGAACCATCTTTATTTATGCCTTCTGGCCACCTTTGCCTGATTTCAACTTCAAACTGTGGAAAGTTAATACCACCAGCAAATCTATCCCTTACTCTTTCCTCAAAATACCTGTTGCATTTACAGTGGGAGGCCAAGTCTTTTAAACGTACGAAAAATTTGAAAAACTCTCATAATTTCCTCTCACACATTTTTCAAAGTATAGTCTCGCTGCAAAGATTGTTTTACTAGGTTTATAATTATAAACACACCGAAATGTATCAAGCAGTTCAGTCATTGGTATGTCATAAATTTTCCTAGGTAAAAAAAGTTTGATAGGTCCATTTTGAGGGGTACAGGGCCAACATTATGACCTTCTGACCTCCTCAGTTTCATCACTGTCATCACCCGATCCCTTTGCCTTGCACATCAATTGGAAGTGAGCTTCATATTCAATTTTATTTTTCATCATAGGGTTCATCATAGGTAATTTTTCGCGCCGTGACCGTGAGTCATTTCGACGATCACACCAAGACCGCGGAATCATACCGACGATCGCGCCGTGCCCGCGGAATCATACCGACGATCGCGCCGTGCCCGCGGAGTCATACCGACAATCACGCCATGACCGCAAGTCATACCGACGATCACGCCGTGACTGCAGAATCATACCAACGATCGCGCTGTGCCAGCGGAGTTATACCGACGATCACGCCGTGACCGCGGAATCATACCGACGATCGCACCGTTCCGGCGGAATCATACCGACGATCGCACCGTTCCGGCGGAGTCATACCGATGATCAGGCCGTGCCAGCAGAGTTATACCGACGACCACGCCGTGACCGCGGAATCATACCGACGTTCACGCCGTGACCGCAAAATCATACCGATGATCTCACCGTTTCGGCAAAATCATACCGATGATCTCACCGTTCCGGCGGAATCATACCGACGATCGCACCGTTCTGGCGGAGTCATACCGATGATAATGCCGTGAACGCGAGTCATACCGACGAATACGCTGTGACCGTGGAGTCATTCCGTCGACGCGCCATGACCGCGAGTAATACCGACGATCACGCCGTGACAGCGGAGTCAAACCGATGATCACGTCTTGACCGCGAGTCATACCGACGATTACGCCGTGACCGTGGAGTCATACCGAAGGTCACACCATGACTGCGAATCATACCGACGATCACACCGTGACTGTGAATCATACCGACGATTGCGCCATGACTGCGAGTCACAAGTTTCTATACCTGTAAACTTTTACCCAATTTTTTTGTTTATATAGATCAGTGCCACAAATGGTAAAAATTGATTTTCTATGTCTTTTTAGGTAACTGCAATACTCAAGACTTGCTTTTTATGCACAGGAAAAAATCCCGCCCCGTCCCGTCCCGAAAATAGGAAGGCAATAATATTCCCGTCCCGTCCCGAACTAAAAATTCTATCCCGTCCATCTCTACTTTTAGCTTTTTAGTGCTATTAAACAATAAACATCATAGTACAAACTTGTTAACAGCTGAAAAGATTCTTTAATTCCTTTTAAATATGAATACTCATAAGGTTAGCGTGGGAAACTCCAGAGCAACTGGGGCGGAGCCAGAAAGGATTTTTGAGATAAGTATAGGCTTATAGGTTAAACGGGAATGTGAGGTATTATCATGCCAAATTTCAGCCCAATCCGACCAGTAGTTAATGCTCTTATTTCCTGTAAATATAGGATATTCGCTAAAATGGACAGGAAAGCCGTTTAGAGTGACACAACCCAATATTTACAGCCAAAGGACGCTTTATAGAACATTTTCACAAAGTCAAAGAATTGCTACGACTCATGTTAAGAGTTGTAAGGTTACAAGCAGTAACTTACTGGCATTGCTGGCTACAGGCATGAGCGCGTGGCGGATGCTGGTCTCCCAACTCTTGGCAAGATGAGCCCCCACCCCACTGTCTGGTGGAGGTAGCTGTATGTTGGGCACTGAGCGACCGTACAGTGGATCCTCTCCTACAAGGTACTGCACATTGCTGGTGTGGATCTCAAAACAGTGCATCACATCTGCAAATACAGTCACAGGCATACCTAACAAGGAAAACTACTAGTCCAGTAAGTATCATTTTTTAAGTAAGGGCAATTATTGCGTATAAATATATTCGCTTGTACGCCAGAACGTGGCTCTTCGCCACTTATTTGCATTATTTGTGAACATAATGGCACCATTTTCAGCTCTGTAGGTGACAAGTATGCTTCGCTGTGTGTTTTTAAAATCCATCAAATCTCCTGCTGCATGGAAGATAAGGTCAGTTATACATTGTTTTGGTTACAAGAAGCATATCCGTTGCTGAAATTCATCGCTAGATGACTTAAGTTTAAGACCCTAATGCAATGATAGCAGGGAAAGTGCAGAAGTAGGATAGGGAGTTTAAAAATGGCCATGAAAATGTTCATTTCAGAAAGACTTTTGTGGGTACCCAGAAACCAATATACCAAAGGAAAAAGGATTTCACGGCAATTTTTACACTCCATATCCATAACCCATTTCCCCACTTTGTCCTCACTCATTGCATTAAGGCCAAAGCCTTCAGTCATCTGGCGATAAATTTTGGTAGGCTATCAGATATGTTTCTTGTAACAAAAAAAACTTATCACCGACTCGTACGGGGCGGGACATTCGGTGTTCAAACAAATTGTACAAACACACAGCGCACATATCTGTTACAGAGCTGTAATTTGTGTCATTCGGTTCACAAATGGTGATGCCAGTAAGTGGGGAGGAGCCTTGTTGCGGTTTACAAGCGAACTTTTTGAAATTATAGGCAAAAACGTCCTTTAACCCTAGAGCTGGCACTAGTGTAACGCTGTACTGGCATAGGGATATTATTGATTATGTAATCATTTTTAAACCATCATAAAAATGAGAGATAGCAACATAACTATGGATTATCTATATAAATAAAATTATAGTTTTGTCTGTACATTGCTTAGAATCATGCAGTTTTTGGTTATTTTTATATTTCAGAGGCTAAGAAAGCCGAAGCGAGTCTTATCTCAATTTCTGCCTGTCTGTCTGTTTGTCTGTTTGTCCATTCTGTCATTCCGTCTGTGTCGCCAAAATGTAATTTTACGCGGCCTACTCCTAGAAAACTAGAGTACCGATCAAGGTTCTAATCAATTTTCTGTATTTACTGGATTGGTGAGAGTGTTTTTGGCTATAAAAACATGGCCTCGCTTCTTTGAAAACAAAATAACAAACCATTAAAAACCCAATTTTGTTTGATTTTTTTCAAATTTTCTCCCAATGTTTACTATTACAATGAAATAACGATCAGCTGTTTGGATTAGTTCTCACTTCTAGCTGTCACTGATATGTTTACATTAAAAGTTGTTTACAAATACCGCAACCATTTCCGATCAAGTTTTGTTAGCACATCCAAACCAAGTGAGATTTAAAACCTTGTGCCTTATTTAACCGGTTTAATTAATCGCAAGTGCAACGATTGTTCTTGAGTTTTGATAACCGGGGAAAATACCGTGAATCAGTGTTGTATTAGTGCTGGGAAACTTAAATTTTTTTAATCATCGTCACCAATAGCTTAAAAAAAAGGTTTCCACTCATTGACGGCGCTTCAAGGACAGTTGTGTAAAGTGCAAAGTAAAAAATCACAACTGCAGTGGGTGATCATTGATGTTGCTGCGATCTTGAAAGATCTTTCTAATTCGCTGTGATCATAACAGAGGTTTAACTCACAGATGTAGCTAAACTCGCAACTCGCTTTTCCAATGTGTCACTTTTGGTTTCTACTTACTTACATTTCGACAACGATGTCGGTACTTTTCCTACTTAGGAAGTGAAACTACAAACGTCCAAAACCCCAGATTTGTGCGTTTTTTTGTCACATTTCCTCCGAATGTTTGCTAGATATATGTACCGATTATTGTTTAGAGATTACGTAATCTTTTAAATAAGAAACCTTTGTTTGGATAAAGGTGGTTTCTTCAAACTGTCATTAATATGTTAACATTAAAAGTTGCTTACAAATAATGCTATTAATGGGAAACAACTTTGATTTTCGAAAACTTAAAAAAAAATTAAAACCAAGGTAGATTAATAACTTTGGTACTGCACCACATCAAGTGAAAGTTTATTTGAACAAACCATAGTGAGTTTTTAAAGCTTTACGTTGTTAACGTTACATGTTTCATGTTTTGTGGCCTGTGTATTTATTTATTTATATATTTGCCAACGGATTAACACCTATAATACAGTTTGATTAGAAGGTCAGTTTGAATTGGTCGTAAGTACTATAGTTCTTTTCTTAAATGTAAACGTTGGTATTTGGTAATACAACTTTTCCTTAGAACCGGTGGTAGCAGTAAGAATCATTTTTACGTACAAACACATCACTATTTACAACTATAGTTATCGTTAGTGCTGCACCTTATTTCTTATTAAATTTAATTGATGTCTTGCAATATAATTTTTTGCGTTTTCTCTCTGGACTCCACAATGTTAGTTTATGCTATGAAAATGATAAAACATTAGTGAAAGATTTTTTTTGCAAACCATCATGAATTTGTAAAGCTTGGCGTTGTTAACGTATAAATGTTTTGTGGGCTGTGTATTTATTTACTTATTTATATATTTGCCAACGTATTTACACCAATTTTATTGGCCTAAAATAAAATTATTACTAATTAAGGCCTAAAAAACGGTTATATCATAAAATTTGATGACACTATCAAAAGCTTCAAATAATTATTTTGTTTGTGTTGGTTAAAGCGTAGTAAAAACTCCCCTAATTCAATTCTGTATTTGTGTGTGTATGACTGTTGGTAACGCATTAATGTCCTTATTTCTCAGTGTTTCGTGGAAAAGACAAGAGCACCTTTGTTAATGAAAATTTCAACCCGAATACAGTTTGCAGTAGTGAGGTTGAGGTAGTATTTAAACTACTTTTAACCAGTGTGAAAAGTAACTTTCAATTACAGGCCTACCTTAGGGCTATGCCTCATAGATCTATAAGGCAATTCCTTTTATCATTAGATATCAAATATGCACTAACACGTTCGGGTGACATTTAATTGCGAAGCATTCGTTTTGGCTTGAAACTGTCAGATATTGTATTTGCGAAGGTTTATATGTATTCCTATACAGTAATAGAAGAAGTAAGAAGTATACAGTAAGAATGAAATTTCAGTTCACACATGTATCGATTTTAGAAATTAAAAAAAACCACTAGAAATTTAAAAAATAAAAAATCTTCTGGATGGGATGAAATTCCTATTGAATTAATTAAAAATGTCATAAGCCATATTGCAGAGCCTCTGTGTCTAGTAATCAAACAATGTTTTGATGAAGGAATTTTTCCCTATCAATTAATAAATGCTGAGCTGAAACCACTTTTCAAAAAAGGCTCAGTAATGGACCCTGATAACTATCGTCCTATTTCAATACACCCATCTTTGTCTAAAATCTTTGAAAAAATTGCTTACAACCAAATCTATTCATATTTCGAAAATTATGATTTAATTACCAATAAACAATATGGTTTTAGATCTGGGAAAACACTATATCTGCTGTCTCAGATTTCATAAATCAGGTTTTTGATGGCTTGGATGGGTCTCAGAGCACAGCTGCGGTGTTCTGTGATCTATCCAAGGCATTTGATTGTGTAAATTACAATATATTAATGAGTAAACTTAAATGTTATGAATTTTCTGATATGGCTCTGTCTTGGATGCATTCATATTTGACTAACAGACATCAAAGAACAATAATCGTAAAAAATGGTAAAAAATGTATTTGAGTAAAAATTTAAAAACGTTCGTTTTCAGGGAAAGCACTTTTAAAATTTGTTGTTCCATTTTTTGAAACTTTTACCATTTTTTAGCGAATTTCCCATATAGGGAATAAGCTATTACCGTAGTACTCATGGTAAGACCTGGATGCGGGACCGATTTTTTGTTTGTTTTGAGGTCCCTAGAGGCCAAAAACACCATCCGTTCAAATTCATATATATATATATATATATATATATTTATATATATATATGTGTCCGTCAGCACGATAACTCGAGCAAAAATGATCCGATTTTGATGAAATTTGGTACAAACGTGTAAACCTACGTCTATTCGAACGAGTTCGCGATCCAGCATGATCGGACCATGGGAACGGGTGTTTACGGGGGGTTTTATGGGGTAAAAATAGGTTTTTCCCAATTTTGACCCAAAAAACATAAAATTTAGTAATTAATTTCCAAACCATTTTGTAGAGCTTCAAAAAACAAATAATTTAGTATATTGAAGCGTTATTATGCGCCTAATGGTTACGGAGAAAATTCCAAAAAATTGTAAATTTAAAATTCCCATGTTATTCTTATGGAGAATGAGTAAACTGTTGTAGTTTGCTTGTTTATGAACATATTTTGATCAAATTTGGAAAATGTTTTTATTTCTTAATAACTATTAACATTTTACAAAAAAAAAAACAGTTTTACCCTCCCTGATGCAGCAAACCTAAGTACTTGTTAAACTAATTCTATTTAAATCGGGAATAAATGTTATATTTTTAAGTAGACATTTCAGTGTAAATCCAATCAGTCAAATGGAAATTCGCTTAGTCTGCAGGTTTGCTGCGGCGGGGGTATTTTATTTCATTGACATTTGAAGTTTCATAAAATGTCCATGGTAACGCAATATCTTTGGTGATTTTTTATTAATAGAGCATCTTTGATGGAAAGACACGAAATTTTGTCACGACCATCACGGACATAAAACTGAATATTAAAAATAGTTAATATTATATTTGGTCTTTCTAGAAAAAAATAAAAACACTCAACCCGAAAAATCATTGTTTTTATAGGGGTGTGCTTCTTTTGTGTATAAAACATTAAAATATGATGATATTTTAATTTTTGAAATTTTTATGATATAAATCATCAACGTGATGGTCAGGGACAAGCGGTAAGGTCGTGAATTGTCTGGAATAATCTGAATATTTCTAAACAATCCTTTCAATTATATTGTTAGTTATAATAAAAATATGTGTTTCAATTGAACTGAAGTGTTCAATTTAGAATGATATTTAAGTTATTGTCACGACCAAGCACAGTATAATCCATAAGGCTGGATGGGTCGTGAAAAAATCTGCGGCGGTCGTGAAACTTTGGTCGTGACATTACGTGTTATTTGGCTCTGTTCTGGCGGTAGCCCTGCACCTCATGTTCGAGGATACAAAGTGGACTTCTAGGTTAATGTAGCAATTGAAATATCATATCAACAAAAATTAACACCACGTCTATTTCATCAAATGACTACGTACGGTCATGGACACACCAAAATTACAAAAAACACAAACTTACCTTTATTAAACTTATAACTACTTCTTTCAACACAAAACGACTGGCAAAAAAAACTTGACGTACACCCCGAACTAGTCTCTAAAATGAACTGACGCAATCGACGCCAGGGTTGCCACTGTCGTGCTCCAAAGTTGAAAATTTTTCCCAAATGGTCGTGACGCCAAATCGAGGGACGGACTTATTTTGTCATGGTAGTCAGTTTGCAGTGACAATAAAATTATAATATGCTCCTTTTTTGTAAGTTTAATAACTATTAATGACATAAAAATATGGCTTTATATATTTTGGCATGAATAATTAGTCTAAAAACAGCGTGAAAGTTGGAAAATGTACCCTAGGGACACGTCATGGTCGTGAATTTCGAGACTTTAAAAATACGAAAAAAATACCTAGAACCTATTTAAAACCAAATAAATGTGTGTAACATGTTGCCCCTGACCCAAAAAATATTAAAACACATAATAATAAAGTACAAATCCAGTATCTACGAAGTAAAAGGCCAGGGACATGAAAACGTACGTTTTGAAATTTTCACTCATTTCACAGTGGCTTAACACTAAATGTGGGGTTCCTCAAGGGTCAATACTAGGCCCCTTGCTATTTTTAATATTTATTAATGACTTACTTCAAAATGTATCGTCTAACCTTATCTTATGCTGATGACACTAAAGCAATATTTAAATCAAATAGTTTGCAAAATCTTAAACAAGAAATCAGTCTTTCTATTCTTAATTTATCTAATTGGTTTACAGCCAACGGGCTAAAACTTAATAATTCTAAAACACAGGTGATGTTATTTCAAACAATTCAGAATAGGCAAAACTCCACTGTTGAATTATCGTATGATAATAATATTATATCCTTTACTGAAAATGAAAAATTTTTGGGTTTAGATATCTATAAGAATTTAACATGGAAAACACACATAAAAATGGTAGTTGGTAAATTAAATACGGCTTGCTTTCAAATGTATGTTTTGAGAAATGTAATAGATTTAAAAACTAAACTCACAGTGTACTATGCAATGTTCTTTTCTGTCTTGCAATACGGGATTGAATTATGGGGAGCAACTTCTTATTCTAAAGCAGTTTTCAAAATTCAGAAGAAATTTATAAGGATTTTATCATTTATGCCTAAAAGAACCTCATGCAGAGCTTTATTTGCTAAATATGAGATATTAACTTTGCCTTCACTTTATATATTTAAAATGATGGTAAATTTTAAAATTAATTATCAAATGTACAATGATAAACAAATCAGTCATCCGTATCTTACACGCTCAAAAAATTTTCAATATCCAAGACATCGCCTTTGTATATATGAAAGATCTCCTTATTATATGGGATTAAGGCTTTACAACAGTCTACCAACTAATTTCAAAGAAATTAACAGTATTTCAAAATTTAAAAATGATTTCAAACGATACCTTTTACAGAAAAATTATTATAAGATTTCCGATTATTTAAATGATAAGTAAATATATTTTAGTTTAAGCTATGTGGATTTCAGTTTTGTTATGTAACTTAGTGTTTAAGATCTCTGACAATATCACCTGTTTCCAGCTAACGCTGGATCTGTTAAATGTTTTTGTGATAATAAAGTAATATTTCATTTAATTTCATTTCAATAGTTTTGCCAGCATATCTTGGAAAATGCACACTAAATATGCCAACCAACTCCTGTTCTGAATATAAGGTTTCAACTTACTATAAGATTCCCGTACGTAGAACGGGCAAACAGCTAGTTATATATCATTTTGTTCAGAATAAGACAAAGAACAATAATATAGGTGGATTACATGGTTACCAAAAAAATTTTTTTTAGTTTTTCCGAATTGTAGGCATTATTAATTTTTTTATAAAATGTTTTTATATTCCGTCGTGTAGCTAAGTGCAGGTAAGACCAGGGTGTCTACTACATTCTGGATAAAAAATTCATGGACAATTCCCGTACATTTAAGGACACTTTGCCGTAACCTTTGTCGGTGTCATTAGGCCTACCGAATAATTTTCCTGATTTGTCAAACTGTATTAATCTTGTTATTCACTGTAGTTGTACCAGAGAAAAAAGTAAATAATAATAGATAAGAGTTAAAAATTACGAAATAGAAATTTATCGAAAGTAAACAAACATACGCCTACCTATACTTTAGGTAAAGCTTTTATAGTGTAACAGAGAAACGCAATCATTGTCTCCTGCGATAGCGACAAATATCTCCATCCATCACGTAAACTTCATAACATAGCTTATCCGATCCAGGCGGATTAATTTGGCATGATTCGCCCTGGCACAACGTTAGGATCTCGACTACTTTTGAAAAAAAAATCTTTAATGCATATTGTTACTCAATTCTTAGTACAAAATCAATGTACGGTAAGCGGCTATTAATAAGCAATAAGCACAGAGTAAGATTATTGTATTTTCATTTGTAAAGTTAATATCGACACATAGCTATCATTAGTTGTTTATCTTAGGCTCAATTACATTTTCTTAATATATTTTACAGCTCTTTCAAGAATCAAAATACCCAGGCCTAGACCTAATTATTTAGGAGGGCCTATATAAACTGAGTAACAAACAATGAGGTTATAATAGCAGCAAAGTTACTATCATCATTCTAGTTCATAAGATTTTGATTGCTTAAAGCATACAACTCAATAAATAAATATATGGGAAACAAAAAACATTGAAACCTGAATAGCCAACAATATAAGACAAAGATACAGAAAATGCAATGACATAATTTGAAACCAAGCAGGCCTACATAGTGATAAAACATTAATGCAAACAAAATGCTTGTGGTTTTGTCAATTGAAAGATAAAATGTCCATAAAAAAGGGGTTAACTTACATAATAAGACTGTAGATTATTTACATGTTTAATATGAAACCATAAACAGTTTTATGGCACTAGGCACTGGCCGCGGCAAATTGAATCTTCAAGCCGAAAGTACAAGTAAGAAGTTAAATTTAACAGCCATTATAAAGGTATTATTTTCAAGATAAAATAGGTTTGGGATCTAATAATAATTACCCTAGTAATAAAAAAAGAAGTTGTAAAGGAATAAAAGTGATACAACCTTTATGAGCTAGCTGCTGAGTCAACAGTTCTTGGAAGTTCTTGACTTGACACTTGATTGTCGTGATAAAATATTAATGGGTTTGAGATTGTTAATGGGATTTTTATTGCATAATTACTCTAGTAATAAATTATGAAAATGTAAACAAACATCTGATAAACCTTTTATGTGCTCCTAACCAACAATCGATCAATAAAATTATGGCCCATCAAAAATTTAAGGACTTTGTCTGGCATTTAAGGACAATTCCCGTACATTTCATGGCCAGTAAAAATTTAAGTACAATTCCCGGTTTTCCCGGATTTCCCGGTTGGTAGACACCCTGTAAGACTTATCATCATAAGGTAAATTGTAAAGTTGTAGTAAATTTTGTGTTGATTCCAAAAATAACTTATATAGTTTGTATAGCTTATTTTGTGTACCGTATTTTGTTTGATAGCCCTATTATTATGTTGATCGTACCCCCGCGCTAGTACCAAATAATCATCCAACCCAGGTCATGTACAAAACCGTACACCTTATACACTAATATATTACATACAATCACATGCAAAGGGCCTATATCTAAAATTTTATGAAATTAGCTAATGAATAAAAAAGTCATGCAAAAGGTTATTTATTTACTTACACACATAAATACAATGCCTCCAATAACATTATTCTGATTCGCTCGACATCACGCAATTCACTTGAACGATCTCTATAGTTCTTTTCCATATTCAAAAATAGTGCATATTACCCACTAACATGTTAATTCACTTTATTTAAATACTTACTACAAATAATAACACTAATAAACGCATAAAAATAAACAAAACACATCCAAACGTTGCCGATCGACACTGTTTACTGTTTATAGCGGCAGCGGCAGACGACGAAAACAATAACAAGCGATCGCGATCTTTTACATAGAGTTCAAATCACTCCAAAGAGGTATAAAAATTTTAAAAGTATTGTAAATAAGTACTATAACTCATGAATTTTCGTTTGATATGAGTTTTGAGGCGTTTTTAACGGATTTTCGGCCAAAAAAAATGCATAAACATTGACGCCTGCATTGGCGCCACACATCCAACGTTACATCCGGCATTGCCATTTTGGCCGAGGCCGTTCGCGCCGTATATCCGGCGTTTGCCGGCGCTAGGGTTAGTAAAAAAACCGCCCTAATATATTTTATACTTTCTTTTGTTGGTTTAAAAGTTTTAGCTACTACGGCACCGAATTGCCTAAAAGTTGACAATAAGTGCAAATACATTTTATACTAAATTATGAACAGTATGGTTGTAATATGGCGTGTAGTATGATAAAGTTATGGAAAAATTATAATATACCAGTACATACCTCCTTGTTGCATAGTGGCAGGTTCAACTGATAGAATTTCGGCCAAAGGAATCTCCTTATAGTATTTTGACCCCGAATCACTTTGGAATAATGTAATGCATTTTGAATCCAACCGCCAGTAGTGCCTCTTCCTCTGAAAAATAAAGTAAAAATTTGAAAATATTATTTGAAGAAAATGAGATAATTATTATTTTTTTGGTGAGCAGGAAAAAACATTAAGTAAACTGAGGGATCTGTTGGGCACTTAAAAATGGTTCAAAACTTGACTCCAAGACATAGCGAATAATGGAATACCCTTTAACCTTTCATTACTTTGTAGCTAAAAATTTGAAAATTTGCTTGTTTTATGCTTGTTTCTGAATATTCTTTATGTATAGGCCTATTAATTACCATTCTGTCTTTGGTGGTGAAATGAACCATCCACCCTTCCTTGAGCACCTTGGACCCTCTTCTCTTTGTGTGCTTGACTGACTGTACTATCCTCATCAGGGGAATGTTATTGCTAGGGGAAGAACTGTAAAACATATAAAAAAACACATTTCTAATAAGTACAAATTGTAATTTTCAGACCAGTCGGCAAAGTAAATTATACAGTATGTGCACTTTAGTCGTATTGGGTAAAAAATTTAATTTCAGGTACTGACTGAATACGACACATTTTTCATCTTTAACTTTTTAAACAGGTTAATAGCTTCCTAAGAATATCACAGACATCATATTATTTCAAACCTGTGATGGACATAAAAACAAAAATCTTTTGAGTTATCTTTATCTTGAATGGGGTGAACTTGATCCTTGAACTTGAGGTGATCTGTCCATAAAAGAGAGTTGGTTTCCCTGTATATGCAATAAGTTTGCAAATTGAAAAAGATAGGACAAGGATATCATTTTTGATTGTTTAAAACTATCCCTACAGCATTTAGTAATTATTACTATCAAGATTATTTATTAATCTTACAACCTCTTTCTGCAATCAGAGTGATGAGTAGAGGATGGGGCTCCCTCCCCCCGCCAATAATCAGGTTCGATAATCTTTTGCAAAGTTCTTGTATCAGGTTGAACAGGTAGGTCAATGGTAAAATTATCGATTAAATAGAAAGTTTCATCAATATGTTAAAATACTATAGAGATTTTTACTTTTTAAGTTACTGAAGTTCTTATTAGCGAATTTCCCCTATAGGGAATAAGCTATTACCATAGTACTCATGGTAAGACCTGGACCCAGGACCGATTTACTTTTTCGTTTTGAGGTCCCTAGAGACCAAAAACACCACCCGTTCAAATTCATATATATATATATATATATATATATATGTGTGTGTCCGTTAGCGCGATAACTCGAGCAAAAATCATCCGATTTTGATGAAATTTGGTTCAAACGTGTAAACCTACGTTTATTCGAACGAGTTTGCAAACCAGCATGATCGGACTATGGAAACAGGGGTTTATGGGGGGTTTTATGGTGAAAAAATTGGTTTTTCCCATTTTTGACCCTAAATACTTAAAATTAAGCATTTTCTTTCTAAACAATTTTGTAGAGCTTAAAAAAACAAATAATTTTGTATATTGATATTTTTGATATATTGCGTTTATATGCGCCTAATGGTTACGGAGAAAATTCCAAAAATCTGTAAATTTAAAATTCCCATGTTATTCTTATGGAGAATAAGTAAACTGTTGTCCTAGTTTGCTTGTTTATGAACATATTTTGGTCAAATTTAGAAAATGCATTAATTTCATACTAGACTATTACATTTTACAAAAAAAAACACCTTTTTACTCTCCCTGTTGCAGCAAACCTAAGTACTCGTTAAAGAAATGTTATTTAAATAGGGAATAAATGTGATATTTTTAAGGAGAAATTTTAGTGTAAATCCAATCAGGCAAATGGAAATTCGCTTAGTCTGCAGGTTTGCTGCGGCGGGGGTATTTTTATTGTTGTGGAGCAAATTTCACCCAGTTGAAAGAAGTCCAGGATCAATCACATGCAGAGAACAATAGTTTGTTGTCTTTTGAACAGGTTTTGCTTCTATATTTATTTATTAACAAACAATGGGACAAGAAAACAAAAAAGAAAGTGGTCCTGGGTCTAGGTCTTAACATGAGACATTCGGTAATATCTTATTTCATTCATGTTTGTTTTTAGCGAATTTCCCTTATAGGGAATAAGCTATTACCGTAGGTCTCATGGTAAGACCTAGACCCGGGACCGATTTACTTTTTCGTTTTGAAGTCCCCAATCCCCATAGGCCAAAAACACCATCTGTTCAAATTCATCTTAATAAATGTGAAAGTTTGTGTGTTTGATTGTTTGAAGTTCAATCAAGCATTAACTACTGGACATATTGGGCTGAAATTTGGCAGATGATAGATCACATTCCCGATTAACATATAGGCATATTCTTATCTACAAAATCCTGTCGGGCACCGCCCCAGTGGCTCTGCATTTCCCCATCTTAACCTTATGAGTATTCATATTTAAAAGGAATTAAAGAATTTGTAGGACTGGGACGGGTGGCGTCGTCCTGTAATCCAGCTACTAGGAGGTCACGAATTGTGGATATTTATAGGGATTCTCTGTGGATGTGATGCTCCCTGGTGTGGATTAACGTCCGCACTAGTGAGTACTACGACTATCCGTACCAATTCGTAAATTACAAGGAAAAAATGTGGTTCGGATTCCACTATAAACTGTAGGTCCCTTAGTTGCCAAATTAGCTGTATGGGCTATTAATTAACAGCTGTGTCTAAGGAACATGTCTACGTCTACCTTAGTCACTAACAAGACTACAAGATCGCGCCACTCATCTAAAGGTGTACTCATCCTTCTACACTCATCCTTCACTCATATTTGGGTTAAAATGCGCACATAGTGGCGTCCCCATCTTAAATAATTGATAATTGAATTGATAGTCAGCTGTTTCAACTAAAAAAGTTGGTTCTATGATATGCAAAAGCATTAAAAAGTTATAAGATTTACCAACAGTGTGCAGCACTATTATTTGTTTGCATTTATGAAAACAGCTAATTTGAACTGTTGACTGTAAATCCTTCAACGTTTGAACTAAGCGGCAACAAAACACTGTAATACACAATGAGAACTGTCAAAATAGGATTGTTTCCATTTATTTTTATGTTTTTAACTTCATGAATCATTTGTGATATTTTGCAAATTTATTTATTTATTACCATATTTGTTTTGTTATTTTTTTGTTAATTATTGTTATTTATTTGTCTATTGTTTTAGTGAAGTGGTAGAACATTATGGCTATGGTAGACGTGTAATATTATAGTATACCGTAAATGTAAAGAAGGAAATTTTATCAAACTGTGTCCTCCCCCCCCCATTGTAAACGCAAAGCTCGAGTATAACTTCAATAAGCATTTTATACTTACAGTATATGCCAACCCCGTACAAAGGACGGGTACTCTGCTAGTATATATATATATAGTCATATCTACTTATGTATAATCTTTGACTATCAATACAACTTCAGTATTCAATAGTCAATGATATAATTCGGTTTTAAAATCTTTGTACAACTAAATCTAGAGTTCTACTGGACCGATTTTATTAATTAATGGGGTGTTGGAAAGCTTTATTCGTGTAGATTTGTAAATAATTATGAAAGTTTGTTTTTATTATGAAAATGAAAAATGAAAAAAAACATGTTCTTCATAAGAAATACATTGAAAACAATGTTTTAACACTTTATATTTGGTTGCGACTTTTGGCTGCTTTTTTTGAGTATTTCCAAGAAGTGCATGGTATCAATTTGCAGGAAAATATATATTTTTTACAGAATATCACCTTCCACTTTGGTCAATTTCCTCACCATTTACTTTGTACAACTAAATCTAGACTTGTACTGGACCGATTTTGTTAATTAATGGGTCATTGGAAAGCCTAATTCATGTAGATTTGCAAATCATTATGAAAGTGTGATTTTATTAAATATTTGTGGTGAAAAAAAAAACAAAAATACATTAAAAACTGCTTTTTAAGGTTTCTGTTTTCAAGTTTTTATTTGAAGCCAGCTTTTGGCTGCCTTTATTAAGTATTTTCAAAGACCAATCTCCCTTTTGCAAAAGTATTAGAGAATATTGTCTTAAAACAACTAATGTCCCACTTTGAACAGCACCGTCTTCTCACTACCCAACAACATGGTTTACTCAAAGGCCGCTCAACAACCACAGCCATATAACAACGGTTCACAGAGTATTACTGGACCAGCTTGAAGATGGCTCAAAAGCTAGAGCTCGTGCGTTTCCTGTGAAGCCTGGGGGTAGGGTTGAAGCCCCTACAAAACCGGTTCTGAACCACTCTAACCACCTACCCCCAGGCTTCACCAGGAAACGCACGAGCTCTAGCACTCTTTTTTTCCATTTCAGTACAGCTTTTGACTGTCTAAACAATGAACAGCTTCTGAGAAATCTAGAAGCCCTAGTAGTAATTGCAGTATGTGCAATTAGCTTAAAAAAAGAGCAAACCGGGACATAAAAAAAAGTTCCAAACCAGCACCAAATTGTTTAATACACTTCCCTCAATATGTAAAAAAAAGTTACACTCATTTGAGTGTCGGGTTAGGGGGGGAGAGGGTAAAAATAGGACTTTTTTTTACTTTTTTGCAAATTACTCAAAAACGGTGCGTTTTTCTCAAAATTCAATGAATTACAAAAATAATCTCTAATAAATTAAATGAAGGTCAGAAAACCATGGACACCAATAAAAAAAGTTTGTAATGGATGCCAAATCGTTGGTTAAACCTCCCTTAAACATATGTAAAAATGTTACACTGATTTGCGTGCCGTTTTTGGGTAGGAGGGGGTGAAAACGGGGTGGGGAATATTATTTTTAAGTAATTTTGTAAATTTTGTAAGGTAACACTTTTTATTTTCCTTTTTAACACAAATATAACGACAATTTAACTAAATATTACTTACCTATCTGAAAAGACAAACCTACCTAGATACGTGAAAACAGTGAACTTTCTACCGTTTGAATTCTTAAGTGTGTTTTATCATTAATTAGTTAATATCCGTGTTACAATAGTTATTTGTGTAACTAGTGGGTGAAGTGGCACATTGCTGCACACGAGAGAAATGCTTACAATTAAGGTTATCCAATCGTTGAACGAAATGGGAAACACTGCAACAGCTGATTGTAATTGTAATATTTTTAAGTGTTGCAAACCTATTTCTAAGCGAACACAGATTACGCGCATAATGAAAGCACGCTGTTTTGTGTTGTTTGGTTGGAATACTGGTGTGCGACAAAGTAAAAACCGTATGACAACGTACGAACTGTGTGACAAAAGTAAGTAAATGCACCAATTAGCAGCTTGTATAGCCAAACAAAATGGTGAATATCTGGTTAACGAATCAATTTTGGAAAAAATGTTATACTTGATTTACCCTTTATTTTGACTCATAGAACCATTTTCCGGAGTTTGGCTGTATACTTAAGGGACACTCTGTATATATTAGATTTTCTATTTAAAAAAGGGGTACGTA